TTTTTAGTAGAGACGGGGTTTCACCATGTTGGCCAGGATGGTCTCGATCTCTTGACCTCGTGATCCACCCGCCTCGGCCTCCCAAAGTGCTGGGATTACAGGCGTGAGCCACCGTGCCTGGCCCCCTTCAATAATTTTTGACTCATGACCAACCTTGTATTATTTACACTCCTGCGCATATCCCCCTTCCCTTGATGGGATTATTTTGAAAAATCCCAGGTATTTTATCAGTTAATATTTAATTATTTTAGTAAGAGCCTCTAAACAGATATGAACTCTTTAAAACATATCTAAAACTAAGAAGGATTCTATAATATTAAATATCCCAAGAGTGTTCAAATTGCCGTGATTTGCTCAAAAAAGGAACTAAAATTTTTTCCGTTTGAATTGGGATTCACATAAGGTACATATAATACTGTTACTGGCTTTAAAACACTTTCATATTAGGTAGTTCCAGGCTTTTTTCTCCCTCACTATTATAACTTTTAATAATCATCCATGTATATGTATCTTTATACACCTATGCACATATATATATCTATAGAATATGCCTCAATAAGTTGATATATTTTTTAACATTTTGACATGGCTTTATCAAAGTGGCTGATAAAATCCACAGCTTGATAAAATGAGGAAGGATGGTGTTAATTATTTCTATGCATCCTCTCGTTCCATTTTATCCTAATTATACATGATGGACAAGAGCATGAGCCAAAAAGCTGGGCCAAATCCTAGCAGAATAGACCTTTGGGTGCCCAGAAACACAATCCCATGCTGGGAGGCTGAAACTGAATCCATTTTAACCCTCACACCACAAGATGATTTCCTTCTTCATCCCCCTTGATTATTTAAAAATGGCCACCTAATTTCTACACAGTCCATATTCTCTGTGGCCTTGAGGAGCCTGGGTTTCGTTCTGAATCTGCCTACTATTGTATCATGTAGGCACCCAGAGCTGGGTTAACAGAAAACAGTAGGAAAGGTGGGTGAGGGCAGCTTCTGATTGCTCATTATCACTTCAGAAGCTCTTTTAATTTGTGCCAATAACAGGGATATCAATTACAAACTCTCATTTGGCTAAGCAGTTTACATGTAAACAGAACTGAAGCAGACATGTCACTAAGTAGTTCTGATTTTTGTTTTGACATATGAAATAGAATATTCCAGATCTTTTAGGAAGAATTCTAAATGTTATTCAGGGTTGGTGTCCAGGCAAGTTAGGTTCTTGAGTGTACCTCCACTGTAGATCCTGGAAGACCAGGAAACTTAGTTCTGACTCTCCATTTGGGCCTCAGTCTTCTAACTTATAACACGTGTGGGCCTCAAGACCTTTTGAGGAACAATAAACTATATTAACCAATTCAGAGAGAAAAATCAGCATTAAGAAATACCCATAGTCCAACAGAGGAAACTTTCAGCAATGGAAGACATGTCTTATATAGTATGATTGAAGCAAAAAAAAGGCAGGAAACCTGACAGTTATTCAGATCTACAGTGTGTCAGGTTCTGTGCTAGGGCTTTCTATATTTAGCTTCTTTAATGAAATCCAATCTCCACAACAGCCCTAGGAGGTAGAATTTGTCACTATTTTTATATAAGAGGAAACAATCTAGAGAAAGTTGAGTAATTTGCTTAAAGCCACACAACTACTGGAGCTGGAATTAAAGGCCAAATCTGTTTTTACTCTAAAGTTCATGTTCCTTCCATTATACCAACTAAAAAAAAGGAAAACTAATTGGCACCTGATTCAGGACCTCACTTCTGAATTCTTTGCTGAAAAAGTAGCAACTACAATAGATGAAAATAGACAAAACAGCTGATTGCTGCTTTCTCCCTTTGCCTTTAATTACATACCATTTTCCATCCTTGGCCCTCTTCTCCAAAATTGTCCTTTTTAATCTCAGACAATTTCCTCTACTCCTAAGACGTTATTCTTATGAATTCAAATAAGCATTATATGCTTTTTTCCAACTATTAAATTTAAATTGTTTCTATGACCTGTAATAGTTATATTTCTGTTGACATATGTATGCTAACTTTAGGATAAGGGTTATCTCTGGGGAGGGAGGAGAATGAGGTTAAGGGAGAGATATAAAGGGGCTTCTACTATAATTGTTAATACATATAACATTTATATATGTAACTATTAAATGTAGGTAAGAGTCACCTACATTTTGGTGACTCTTAACGCCAAATATATGTATGTGTATAGATCTTAGAGATCTTAGCCCCTCTTCTGAGTATTATATATGGTAATGAATTAAATCCTCACAACTACCACGTAAATGCTAATATTATTCCCATTTTAAAGATTAGATTAGTGGTAGTAATCCCAGCACTTTGGGAGGCCAAGGAGGGAGGATTGCATGAGACTAGCAGTTCAAGACTAGCCTGGGCAACATGGTGAGACCCCCATCTCTACAAAAAAAAAAAAAAAAAGAAAAAAGAATTAGCCAGGTGTAGTGGTGTTTGCCTGTAGTCCTAGCTACTTGGGAGGCTGCGGCTGGAAGACTGTTTGAGCCCAGGAGTTCAAGGCTGCGGTGAGCTGTAATTGTGCCACTATACTCCCAGCTTGGGTGACAGAGTAAGACCTTGTCTCCAAAAAAAATAAAAAAATAAAGTTAAACAACTTGCTTAAGGTCATACAGTCAGGAAGTAAGAGAGGCAGGGTTTTAAATCAGTCTGCTTTGGAGTCTCATCTCTTAACTACCATGCTCAGTATACTGCCATCAATAGTGATTTTTTTTCAAAAAGGAAAAGAAAGGAATAGTGGTTTCTCAACTAGCTGGGCTGCTTATTAGAATTACCTGGGGAGCTTCTCAAAAATACTAGTGCTCAGTCATTGCTAGTGGGAATGCAAAATGGCACAGCCACTCTGGAAAACAGTTTGGCAGTGTCTTACAGGCTAAACATAGCCTTACCATACAATCTGGTAATTGCACTACTAAGGGATTTACTCAAATGCGTTGAAAATTATGTTCACATAAAAACTGGTATCTTAGTGTTTATAGAAGCTTTATTCATAATTGCCAAAATTGGAAGCAACCAAGATGTCCTTTAATAGATGAATGGCTAAATAAAATGTAGTGAACCCATATAGTGAAATATTATTCAGCAATAAAAAGAAATGTGATATCAAGCCAAAAAAGACACGTAGGAACCTTAAATGCATACTGTCAAGTGAATGAAGCCAGTCTGAACATTCTACATGTTGTATGATTCCAACTATATGACATTCTGGGAAAGGCTAAACTATAGAAACAGTAAAAAGATCAGTGGTTGCCAGAGATTGAGGAGGCCAAGAGGAGAGGAATGAATAGGTGGAGGATAAAGGAATTTTAGTGCAATGAAACTATGCTGTATGATACTTAATGGTGGATACGTGACATTACGCATTTGACAAAATCTATAGAGCTGTATGACACATAAAGTGGACCCTAAGGTAAAGGATGGACTGCAGCTAATAATAATGTATCACTATTGGTTCCTCAACTGTAACATGTATCACATCAGTACAAGATGTTAATAATAGGGAAACTGTGGTTGGAGGAGTATGTGGGAACTCTGTACTTTGTGTTCAATTTTTATGTAAACCTAAAATTGGTCTAAGAAATAAAATCTATTTTAAAAACGAAGTCTAGGTTCTACTCCAGAACAATGACTCATAATCTCTGGGAGTAAGGCTCAGGAATGTGTGTGTATTTAAAAAAAAAAACTGCAAGAGAATCTACTGTACAGCTAGAGTTGAAAATCACCAACCTACATCTATAGAGAAATCTCAAAGACACAACACTGAGTGAAAAAGAAAAAAGTTACAGAATCTTATAATATTAAAAAAATGCAAAATAGTTGTATATATTGTTTATGAATATGAACCTATGTTGGAAAAGTATAAAATACAGATGAGAAGAACATGTTAGGGGTGTTAGCATGTCCTAAATCCTAACATTTAGAATAGGAGTTATCTCTAGGGGACAGAGAGAAATGGTGTTAGAGAGAAACACAAAAGTGTTATCTATTTGTTACATTTGTTTCTTAAAAATAAAAAGATTTGAAGCAAACATGGAAAAATGTTAATGTTTATTAAATCTTGTAGATAATATTTGATTACATGCAATTATCTGTGCTTTCCTATATTTCATAATACAATTAAAGAGGAATAGGAACATCTTTTCCTCTAAAACAAGAAAAAAGGAGGTAAGAATTGATAATGATATAGATTGATTTCCTGGTGAGGGGAGGAAAATAGTTAAAGGAAGTCACACTTGGTAGCTCTCATCTTTTTCAGTGACTCACAAGTTAGGCTGTTTGTTGCATTAGTTGGCTTTATTAAGAGCTAGAGGAAAAAGAAATGGGAAAAGAAGCTGAGTAAGAATGGACCTTGGTAAATGAATGTCACCTAAATGGTCCAGTAAATGGACCACAAAACAGCACTGGGAACCCCACTGAGGCTGGAGTAAATACATAAGAAATAAGCCTGAAATACAGAGCTTTGGATTTGGAATGTTAGCTTTACATATACCACAGACTTTTGATTTCTTCTGGTTCGTGGAGTTGACGCTTTGTTCCTGTGAAGTACAGGAGGAAAGAGTTTCAGTTTGGTTCACTCAACAAAGATGACAGGCAGAGAAGTGTGTTCCCATTACCAGCCAGGATGTAGCCAAAAATAATGCATAATTAAATTCTAAGCTCATGGTTTCTTAAAGGGAATTTTATGTTCAAATAGCTTGAAAAAGTGCCTCTTCAGTATCTGTAACTATTGCTCAGGTAAGAAATCTTTTTTTCGGCAATAAATGGTAGTGTAGTCCCTTCCTTAGAATCTAAACTTACAACACTGTTTACCAGCTGGTGATAAGCTTGCTCAACATTTCTGAATACTTTAAGAAAACAGGGAAAGCAGGAAGAAACAAGAGCAATCTAATCTTAGGAATCTTTAGCTGTGTCTCAGGTATCTTAAGATCACAGAAAAAACTAACCGTGGGGGCTTATCCAATGAGCTTCTTTAAACCAGGTTATTTATAAACATCGCCTTTATGAAGCTAAAAGCACAGAAATTTAAAATTAATTGGAAAAAAGTACACATTGGATTGTGTGTCACTGCTGAACAGAAGTTTCAAGTGGAACTATTTATAACCATAAAGTCTATATTTGCCTTTGACCCACAGCTGGTACGGATTGAGAATTCTAGCAGTTTGGGAGAAGTTAAAGCCTATCGACAGGGAACACTCTGCATTTAAAGGACCCTGTAATCTGCAGCACCAGGAAAATCACAGTCCAAGTCTTCATTCTTCAGCTTGCAGTCACATCATCACCATATGCTGTACACTAGAGTATTTATGGCTTGAATCACACATGGAGCCAGTCTTATCTCCGGCAACCATGCTGTCTGCATCAATATAAGATAAAACTGTGCTAATGACAGGAGTGCATGTTTCAATGTAGGTTTCCATGTATGGGATAAAATACTTGGTCAAATGAAGCTTCATGCTACTTCTCTGTGAATGTGGTATTTATTTTATGCAGCAGCAAAGGCAGGCATTAGCTTCACCTTTGCATCTGATTCTAGGCAGATGGTGATGCTAAAAGATGAATACTTAAGGTACTATCTTTCAGTTACTATCTAACAGCAGGACAATGCTCTTAAGAGTTTATGAAATTATTAGCTACTTTTTAGTCTGCCTGAAACTGGAATGACATACCTTGCTTTATTTTAGCTCCACTCTGCTCCTACTAAGTAAGGTCCTTTTTGGTATAGTGATTTGTTAGACAGGACAAGTGAGATTCAAATAAAAGATTTGTCACTGTGGGTTTCACTTCTGTCCATGTGATGACTAGGTTGCTCTGGATGTGTGTTTATTATATATTGGGAAGAATTTGTTAGGCTCTTGGAGTTGTCCTTAACGCCACCTTTCTCTTTTAAGATAATGGTTTCGTTTTTAAACAATATCCTTTAGAGGAATCCTGACCCAGAGAACTGTTTAAGATACCCATATTTCTCCACTGTGAGGCAGGAAAAGACTTCTGAAAAGCCTGTAGGGATGGGAACTCTTAGACTGTGGGACAGAAAAATTAGGACAATAATTTCCTTCTCTGCTTTTGTGGGTTAACCCAAAACTGTTACCTGAACTACAAATTCCTTGAGATTAGGGACTGTATCTTTTTTGTTTTTGTATCCCTAGTACCCAGTTTAATGCCTCAGTAATTGATGAATAAATAAATGAATGTATACATACACAAATTAATTATATGTCCTCCTTCTGGGTCTCCATTTCAGCCTTTTGAAGGCTGAGAGAGAGAAGCTGGCATTATAGAACCCTTAAAGGTTTTCAAACTAATGGGAGAAAAATTGGGATATAATTTGAAGACGGACTGGGGGAAGTAGCTCCAAAGAACGTTAGTGTTGATTCCAGAGAGTTTGAAAATCATAGCACCAGGAATGTTATCTTCATTAAAACAATTATTAAAAAATTGAAAGAGTAACAATTATTAAAAAATTGAAAGAGACCTCAGTGATTTTTTAGACATCGTGAAAACTGGCAATTAATTGCTAGAATATGACTGTCCTCAGGACATGACAGGTCATGTATGGAGCACATGTCTGTAGGGGTATATGTGCCTTGTCAATGACTATACATATGGATTTCCTGAAAAGCCTATGAATTGGTTACACTGGGAGACATACAATGTAGTTCTCTTCCTAAAGGCCTAGGGAGGAAAAGGCCATATGTGTTAGGAGACGAATGAACCAAGTCTGCAGCAAAAGAACTTCAGAAGGCCGGGACTTCACTGAATAGTATTTTCTTACATGTAGCGTATGAAAGTCTGCTAGAGATGGGGGAAAAAGGTTCCAACTGCTTTAATTACCTTAAAAATGTGTGCTTTGAGGATGTGATGTCCCAGTTCAATAGTCTGCTGTCGGTTTAGTTTTCCCTCTTGGCGGGAAAACCAGAAGGCAAGTAATGTGTGACCACTCCTGCAAAAAAAGAGAGAGATTCATTTTATTTATTGATTGACTGATTGAGATGAAGTCTCACTCTGTGACCCAAGCTGGAGTACAGTGGCACAATCTCCACTCCCTGCAACCTCCACCTCCTGGGTTCGAGCGATTCTCCTGACTCAGCCCCCTGAGTAGCTGGTATTACAAGTGACTGCCACCATGTCCAGCTAATTTTTGTATTTTCGTAGAGACAGGGTTTCACCATGCTGGCCAGGCTGCTCTCGAACTCCTGACCTCAGGTGATCCACCTGCCTTGGCCTCCCAAGGTGCTGGGATTACAGGCATGAGCCAACGCACCTGGCCTGATTCATTTTAATAGAAATTTTAATGCCCCGATTCTGCTTTGGTTAGGGGACTGTTCAGGTCCAGTCATACCCCCAACAAAATATATCGTTCAACTGGCTTCTTGGGGAAGGGTACCTGCTCCTGAGCAAAGAATGGGTATTGAAAGTTCTCAGGCAGTGCCTTCTCCAAATCACATGTATAAATACCACAAAATGTTAGTTCTAGTTGGCTTACACCCATCCCACACACAGATGGCATTACAATATTTTCATTTTATTTTCTGTCTCTGTCAGCAACTCTTATTCCACCCATACTTAAATGTCAGTGTTCCTCAGGATCTCTTTCTTGGTCCTTTTCTTTCCCTGCTCTAGATTAGCTCATCCATCCTCAAAGCCTTCACCACCACCTATGTTCTGTATCTTTTTATTTAGATTTTTCTTCTCAGCTTTAGGCCGGTATATATCCAACTGTTGTACTTCCCCATTTGGAGGTCCTATAGTACCTCACACTCAACATGGCCCAAACTGAACTTACAACGTATTCCCCAAGTGATGTCTTCTCTGGTCAGCCTCTACCAAGCCCTCACCCTTTCCCTCCAGCTGAAGAGAATGGAGGGCTTTCTTTCTGCTGCCACCAACATAGATTGCATAACCTTTAGTACTGTGTTTGCCATACTGTCATGTACTCTCTCCTCCACTAGACTGAGGCTCCTGATAGCATCCATTCCCCATTATCTCCTTGCTAACAGATCCCAAACCTGTTTACAAAAAGAGAAAACTCTTTTGTCTGCCTCTAGATATTGTCTCATATGCCCATGATGTCCAGAACTGCCTCAGTCCTCTTGTAAATCATGTGCTCTTCTGGTCTGAGGACAAAGCCAACAGGAGGGCTAGGCTAAAATAATTGCAGAAAAATAAGGCTTAAGCCCTATTAGCTGCCTTAATTCTGAACTTCTTGTTATATGAGGTAATAAATTTCTTTACTGTTTATTTGAATTGGGGTTTTCTGGGTTTCTTCCCCCAGCTCAAAGCACCCTAATGATACACTTCTTTAATTGATAGTGTATGTGTGTATGTATGTATGACATGTACGTATATTTAGGGTTGTATTTCTATTTACATTCATGAAAGAAATCTGAAATACTTATATGTTCCATAGTGCCTAACATAGCCTACTGCATATGAAAATGCTCAATAAAATTTTTTTAGAAGAAAAAATTTGGCATTAAGGAAAGGACACTAGATGCTTTATGTTTTGAGATATGTTATCTTACTATATTTGCTATGGCCTCTAAGAACTACAGACACTTAGAACTGTCTCTCTATGGCTGATATGGTTTGGCTGTGTCCCCACCCAAATCTCACCTTGAACTGTAACCCCCATAATCCCCATGTGTCATGGGAGGGACTTGGTGGGAACTGAATTATGGGGGCAATTTCCCCCATGCTGTTCTTGTGATAGTGAGTGAGTTCTCATGAGATCTGATAGTTTTATGTCTGGCATTTCCCCTGCTGGCACTCTCTCTCTTGCTGCCTTGTGAAGAGGTGCTTTCCACCATGATTCTAAGTTTCCTGAGGCCTCCCCAGCCATGTGAGTCAATGAAACTGCTTTTCTTTATAAATTACCCAGTCTTAGGTATTTCTTTACAGTAGTGTAAGAGTGGACTAATACAGCAAATTGGTACTGCAGAGAGGAGGGTACTGCCCGAAAATGTGGAAGCAACTTTGGAACTGGCTAACGCACAAAAGTTTTAACAGCTTGGAGGGCTCAGAAGAAGATAGGAAAAGTGCGAAAGTTTGTAACTTTCTAGAGACTTTTTGAATAGCTTTGACCAAAATGTTGATGGTGATATAGACAATGAAGTCCAGGAGGAGGTGGTCTTAGATAGAGATAAGGAACTTGCTGGGTACTGGAGTAAAGGTGACTCTTGCTATGCTTTAACAAAGAGACTGGCAGCATTTTGCCCCTGCCCTAGAGATATGTGGACTTTAAACTTGAGAGAGATGATTTAGGGTATCTAGTGGAAGAAATTTCTAAGTAGCAAAATGTTCAAGAGGTGACAGTGCATTAAAGTTTGAAAAAATTGCAGCCTGATAATGCAATAGAAAAGAAAAACCCATATTCTGGGGATAAATTCAAGCCAGCTGCAGAAATTTACATAATTAATGAGGAGTCAAATGTTAAATCACCAAGACAATGGGGAAAACGTCTCCAGGGCGTGTCGAAGGTCTTCATGGCAGCGCTTTCCATCACAGGCCCAGAGGCCTAGGAGGAAAAAGTGGCTTAATGGGCTGGGTCCAGGGCCTTGCTGCTTTGTGCAGTCTCTGGACTTGGTACCCTCCATCCCCACTGTGGCTAAAACGGGCCAATATACAGCTCTCATTGCTTCAGAGGGTGCAAGCCCCAAAGCCTTGGCAGCTTTCATGTGGTGTTGGGCCTGCGGGGGCAGAGAAGTCAAGAACTGAGGTTTGGGAACATCTGCCTAGATTCCACAGGCTATATGGAAATGTGTAGATGTCCAGGCAGAAGTTTGCTGCAGGGGCAGGGCCCTCATGGAAAACCTCTGCTAGGAGAGTGTGGAAGGGAAGTGTGGGGTTGGAACCCCCACACAGAGTCCCCACTGGGACACTGCCTAGTGGAACTGTGGGAAGAGGGTCATCATCCTCCAGACTCCAGAATGGTAGATCCATCAAGAGCTTGCACTGTGTATGTGGAAAAGCTGCAGACACTCAATGATGGCCCATGAAAGCAGCTGGGGGGGGGGGGTACTCTGCAAAGACACAGGGGCAGAGTTGACCAAGGCTGTGGGAGTTCACCTCTTGCATCAGCATGACCTAGATGTGAGACATGGAGTCAAAGGGGATCATTTTAGAACTTTAAGGTTTAATGGTTGTACTATTGGATTTTGGAATTGCATGGGGCCCAAAGCCCCTTTATTTTGGACAATTTTTCCCATTTGGAATAGATGTATTTACCCAATGCCTGTACCCCCACTGTATCTAGGAAATGACTAACTTGCTTTTGATTTTACAGGCTCATAGGCAGAAGAGACTTGCCTTGTCTCAGATGAGACTTTGGAATTGGACTTTCTGGTTAATGCTGGAATGGGTTAAGACTTTAGGGGACTGTTGGAAGGCATGATTGTGTTTTGAAATGTGAGTACATGGAATCTGGGAGGGGTCAGGGGCAGAATGATATGATTTGGCTCTGTGTCTCCACCCACGTCTCACCTTGAATTGTAATCCCCATAATCCCCACGTGTAGTGACAGGGACCTGGTCGGAGGTACTTGAATCATAGGGGCAGTTCCCCCTATACTGTTCTAATGACAGTGAGTTCTCATGAGAGCTGACGGTTTTATAAGTGTCTGAGATTACAGGCATCAGCCACCATGCCTGGCCTGTTTTATTTTTTCCAATATTTATATTTATTTTTTCCTGTTTTATTTTTTTGAATGATAGGTTATTTTAACAGAGCATATGGAAGTTAGACAACAATGAGTCGCATTTATGAAGTATCTTACTCTCAAGATCTCAAAATTCTGTCCAGCTATTAATAGTAAAATTATTGTAGTCTCCCTGGTGTAAAAATTATTACTTTAAGTTACTCATCCATGGCTGTTCCTCTGTGACTAAAACTCCTAAATATAAGCCTCTGATCCACTATCTATGTTTTAGGCTGTTAATGAGAATTCATGCCTATTGGGATTAATGTAAAAAAGCTTGTGCTTGACAAGGAAGTGAATTTTCAGTTAGACACAGAATTGACTTTGCCCTGGTGTTTCCATTTTACCACCATAACTAAGAAATCCTGGTGAGATGTGTGCATTTCTCTACTCTGCATTTCAGATGGCTGGAGATGACAGCGCCTGCTTTTGCATCAGGCACTGAGGAGAAACAGTAAACATTACAGGTGAAGGATAAGATTAAGGTGGCAACTATAGTTCATTTCTTTTTGAATACAAGCATGCTACATTATTCCTATAAGAATGGTTCTGATCAGTTCACTGGACTCAAAGCTTATGGTATGTAAGACACAAGGGGAAGTAACAATGGACATTCAATATTGGCTCCCATGGTGACATCTTGAGCACTGAGATTTAATTTTGCTTCTCAGTCTGCTGGGTCTTTCTACCTCCATCACTATGAAACTCACTTTTGGAAGTGGGAGCTTTCCCTCAAAAGCATAACTTTTTAAGATTTATTTTTAAAAAAAATGTTGCCAGTGACTCAGGCATAAAACGTAGCAGCTATTTTTCCCCTCTCCTATACTTTCTCTCCTGAAAAGTCATAAGAATCTCATTCTCTACTTTATATTCTCTACTGCTCACTCCTTGGCCATCCCAATAATCTACACTGCAGAAACCTGATCAAATTTCTGCTCAAAATTCTTTGCTAGTTTTGTTTTTCCTCTGATACAAAATTTAAACTCCTTAGTATGGTATTCAAAGGCTTTCCATGATTTGTCTGTCTTTACCTCTTTACCTTATCCTTTCAATTCTAGACAGAGTAAATTAATCTGTAGGATTTCAAACATGCTTTCCCTCTGCCTGGAATTCTCTTTCCTGTTTAATCAGAAAAACAATTTCTCATTCTTCAAATGCAACTCACACCATTTCCTCTGTGAAGCTTTCCCTGGTGCCCCCTGATAAACTCAGGGTTTTTTTCCTTAGGTTCCTCTTCTACCTGGTAC